ATCATATTGTTGCAAGAGTAGAGTCCAGCGAGCGAGTCTACCTGCCGGATTTTTAACTGTAAACAAGTATTTAAGTGCGCTATGGTCAGTAAACACTGTAAACTTACGACCATGTAAGTAAGGCTGAAATTTCTTAATCCCTGAAATTAATCCAAGACCTTCTTTTTCAGTAACCGAATAGTTTCTTTCTGCGGAAGTTAGATTTCTTCCTGCGTAAGCAATTACCCTTTCGAGTCCGCCTTGATTTTGAGAAAGGACATAACCTACCGCAAAATCGCTGGCGTCGGTGTAGAGCAAGAAAGGCTTAGTAAAATCTGGATATGCTAATATCGGACTTTCACAAAGGGTCTTCTTTAGTAGTTCAAAAGCCGACTGACATGGTTCCGTCCAGGAAAACCTTTTGTCTTTGCTCAAAAGTGCATTCAATGGTGCCGCTATCTTAGCAAAATCTTTCACAAAACGTCTGTAATAATTCGCTAAGCCTAAGAAACTACGAACGTCTTTAGGAGTTTTTGGTGTAGGAAATCCTTTTACTGCTGAAACCTTGTCAGGATTCGGTGTAATACCATCCCGAGTTATTATATGCCCTAGAAATTTGACGCTTTTCGCGGCGAATTCACATTTAGAGGGCTTAAGCCGCAAATTAGCCAATCGCAACCGCGAAAACACTTCCYGCAGGTTATTCAAGTGTTCAGGGAAWTTTTTGGAATAAATTATAATGTCGTCAATATARCATAGAGCGATTTTATAATTTAGGCCTCTCAAAACGCTCTCCATGAGTCTTTGGAAACTAGCCGGCGCATTCGTCAAGCCAAAAGGAAGRACATTAAATTCGTAAAGTCCCCCGAACGTTGTGAACGCAGTTTTCTCTTTGGATTGCTCGTCGAGTTCTATTTGCCAATAACCACTCAKAAGGTCAAGGGTTGTAAAGTAATTAGACCCCCCTAAACAGTCAATAGAGTCATCAATGCGCGGCAGCGGAAATGAGTCTTTCTTAGTTACTGCATTGAGGCGCCTATAATCTATACAAAACCTAGTTTCTCCTGAATTTCCCTTGGGTACTAATACTACGGGGCTACTCCAAGCACTTATCGATTCAGAAATAACGTTGCGTTCTAACATATCGCTCACATGCCTTTCAATGAGTTCTCGTTGTTTGTCCGAAACTCGATAAGGCCTTTGTTTGATGGCCGGCCCTTCAGTCTCTATTTGATGTTTAATAAGACCGGTTTTGCCTAATTCGAAATTAGAAAAAGCAAATATATCTCGAAATTCAGACAGAAGAGCTTTCAGTTGGGTTTTTTGTGTTTCAGTAAGATCCGTTTTGGAGAGATCTATGTGTTCTCCTGGATCCTTGCTTGTGTTTGTCACAGGTGAATGGGCTGGATTAAAACCTTGGCTATCTATTGCCGCAATCTCTTTCTCCTCCAACGGAATAAACCGCCCTATTACTGTTCCCTTATAGAGCGGCATTGAGGTGGGATTTAATATCCTAACGGGCATGCTTAAATCATTACTGAGCGTTACAAGCGCAGTTGCTGTACAAATATGATATCGTTCAGATAGTGAGCGTTTCGGCTCAATTAGTCCCACTATTCCYGGGTCAAAGGCGAATCTCACAGAACCAGGAAGTACTGTTTCTGTTCTAGGCGGCAGTTCCAYRTCATCTTTTAGGTGTACAGTACATACTAACTCATTACTCTCATCATTCTTACTTTGTTCACGTTCGGTTAATTGAAAAACGAAATCTTTGAAATCAATCTTTGCTTCATATTGAGTTAAGAAATCTTTTCCTAGTATCACGTCATAGGTAACCTCCTTAGCGACTAAAACCTTGAAAGGATATTTTTGTTCTCCAATAGTTATCGGAACATGAACTTGTCCAATTATTTCAATACCCTGACCGTTTGCGGCACGAAGGGATGGCCAAATGCCTTCYGTTTTTAGAGCTTTCTTAAGCCKAGGTAATTGCTTTAGTAACTTTTCGCTAATCAAGGACAACATAGCACCAGTATCTATCAGAAACGAATATGTCTGTCCGTAAATAGATCCCGATATGGATACACTTGTAGCTCCGTCCGTAAATTTAACTGGACAAACTTCGTCTAAATCATAAATATTTCTCCTAATTGGTGTATTTACTGGAAGATTGTCGTCTTTTTGTGGAGCCAAAGATCCAAAAGCCAATTCTAACGCTGAAATAGTTCGGAGCAATGTTTGAAAAACCGATTGACTAATAGATTTGATGAATCGAAGAATACTCAGGAAATATCTAGTGGAATCATGGAAACGCGTGACACTAATAGATATAATCTTGTAGAAAAAGATTATTACTAGCATTAACTTAGTGAAGGAAAAGAAAGGACATACCTGGTTTGGACTATCCGTAGGTACTCTAAGTCTTGGCGTGTCAAGAGTTGTGAGTGAGTAGAAAGAATTTCCCAGTGCGTGATTACTTATGAACACCGGATTTTCAATAGGCTTTGTGCCTTCACGAAATGGCTTGGAAAAGTCCCTTTGAAATGTTAAAGAACACGCTCGGCTCTTTGTATTGTTATCCGGATCAAGGTCGGTCTTAAGTTCGTCAACAAACGCGGGGGTCACGTTTTGGTTATCCCTTAATGAACGACTAACCGAGKTGTTAGCGGCTGAGCAAACAGTGGCTTCAGGTGTAAATTTTWCATTAACACATACTGAATTAAACTCTCGGTTTTCCCGAAGTCTTTTTGCATTTTCACTAGTTAAGAGTTGATTAGGTTTAAAACTCTTCCGAACAGCCCCTTTTGGGTTCTTCAAAACGAGCCGATTCGGTTTTCCCTCTCTCTCTTTAACTAACTGATTTCCTTTCGAATTATCTACAACAGAAGTCACTGAAATATCTTTATTAGAATCACAACACAAAACCTGAGATTTTTCTGAAACAATTTTTTTCACTGCCTTTGGGAWYYGAGTCCCCCTTGTCGAATCCCCTGGCCGTTTCCCTGTCGATAATCACCTGAAAATGAGTTTTGAGGCCTTTGCTGCTGAAAATCGCGATATGGCCTAAAGGGTCGAGAAGCTTGATTAGCATCGCGTCCATTGTTCTGCTGCGGACACACCCTAGAATAATGTCCTACTTTTTTACATTTGAAACAAATAACTGTGCCGTCCGTAGTCCTAGTTGCTCTACCAAAATCACCTCTKGGGTTAAAACGCATGTTATTATTGTTCATAGGTCTCGGCGAATAAGCGGCTCTCTTTACTTCGCTTCGTATCAAATCCCTAACTTGATCAGCCGTCAACGCGTCACTAGGTTTGATTGCGGGCTTTTGTTGTTCAAAAGCTGCGACTTGTGCTAAATTTTGCGCTGCCAGTTTCGAAACCGCACCTAACATATCTTGCTTCAAATTTTGCATGTCTCGTAAGGTGACACTAGCGATTGTATCCGACTTAATAGTGGATCTTATTTTAGCAGATGCAACAGCTTCTTCCATTGTTTTAGGCTGAGCCAAAATTACATAGTTCTTTATCTCAGGAATTAATCCCTGAATAAAAAAATGTAAGCGCTCTTTCTTTGGAATATCAAGGCGCTGGCATCTCTTCAAAATATCCGCACTAAAATYTGCTACACTCTCATTTGGTCTCTGYTTCCTAGAGCTAAGCTCTTGTCTTAAAACCCAATCATCGCTTCTAGAGAGAAAGCGTTCCTTAAACAACCCACACAGCTCTTGAAAGGTAGAAAACTTTTTGTCAAGCGTAAAGTACCAAGTTCTCGCTCCATCAATTAAACTAATTGGGAAGGCGGCAAGCCTTTGTTTTTCGTCMCATGAATGAAAATTGGCAAAAGAATTGAATTGCTCTAAAAACTCTAAAGCTTCTGCTTCGTCTCCTGAGAAAATTGGACTCTTACTAAGACCCGATGTACTCCTTTGAGCAGGATTAGTTTTGGTCATACTCTTATTCAAGTTCGAATTAACTGCTAACAGTTCACCATGATTTTTGTCGGTCTGCTCTATCAGCGTAGTTTGTAATTGTTCAAACGATTTTTTCAGTACTGCTACTAATTCTTTATTAAGGGCGGTTACGTTCTCCTCTGCTTCTGCCATTCTAACACTCTTTGCTTTCTTAGTATGAATAGGATTTGAACAAGTTTTCTTAGAGGTAACGTTTTTTCCCGATCTTAGATACACGGTGAAAAAYCTTTTAGTCRAACAACGCTCAACTTAGTTTTAGGAGGAAAAATCCGAAAATGAATAAATCTTTTGTTACAAGGGAACACAAAGAAAACCCACTATGAACACAGACAGTCACAAAACATAGGTTTTAAAATAACATAAGGACAAGACAATACATAGAGATTAAAAACGCGCAATCTGACGCACCTACATATACATGCTTTTGTCGTTGCC